CCACATGTTCTTGCTTCTTGTTCCTGTGGTGAGGAAATGAGGCATTTGGCTGTAAGGCAACACCAACCTTCAAGAAGTTTTTATTTTCCAGCTTTTGTATTGGGCTGTACCTTGAATCAAGCTGTGTATATTCACAAATGGACAGGGAACAGTCCCTGTTATCAGGGGTCATATGTGAGATGTTAAATGAAGACAAGGAAACAGACTATACAGTGTGGCAAATGGGTCTTGTATATAAAGAAGGACACATCAATGTTTATAGCACCTCAATTCACAATAGCTAAACTATGGAACCAACCTAGATGCCCTTTAACAGATGAATGGATAAAGAAAATGTGGTATATATACACAATAGAATATTACTCAGCCTTAAAGAAGAATGAAATTATGGCATTTATAGGTACATAGATGGAGGTGGCAAATATCATGCTAAGTGAATAAGCCAAACACAAAAAAAACAAAGGCCAAATGTTTTCTCTGATACGTGGATGCTGATTCACAATGGGGAATGGGTAGGGAAGAATGAAGGAACTTTGGATTGTGCAGAGGAGAGTGAGGGAGGAGAGGGAGTGTAGAGATGGAAAGAATGGTGGAATGAGATGAACSTTATTACCCTATATATATGTATGATTACATTACAGGTGGGACTCTGCACCATGTGCAGCCAGAGGAAGGAGAMGTTGTGCTCCATTTGTGTACAATGTTTCAAAGTGCATTCTACTGTCACATATAACTAATTAGAACAAATTAAGAAATTTTAAAAAAAGGACACACAACAAAATGGTCTTGAACAAATCCTATGTAAGGAATTCCCATCTGCACCATGACCAATGACTAGAAGTTAGCCATTTTAAAGACTGGGATGGGGTGAGTGGCTGAGATATGTCAGGTGACCTAAGGTGAAATTTATCTGGAAGCCACTGAGGAAATTTCTTGGAGTTGAAAAACAGATYATGAATATGTGTGGATACAAAGATGGGGAGAATTGTCATAAAATAAGATTAGAACCATTAAAAGATTAGAGGCACAAAGAAGGTGGTTCACACATGTAATGCCAGCTACTCAAGAGGCAGATACAGGAGGATTGCAAGTCTGAGGCCAGCCTCAGCAAGTTAGCSAGAGCCTAACTTGCAAGTTAGTCAGACCCCATCTCAAAATTAAAAAAAATTAAAAAAGGGTTGGGGATGTGGTTCAGTGGTGAAGTACTCCTGGGTTCAATCCTCAATATTAAAACAAAACAAAACTAAACAAAGAAACAACAAAACAGAGCAAAACCCTGAGACAAGATTTTTATACCCTGCTAAGGACTATGGGTTTTTCCCCCCTACCTATAGAGGAAAATTATGTGGAGGTTTTAAGCAATGGTGTTTCATGATCACAGTTCCTAATTTGACTGCAGCATAGAGAATGACATATGGATTTAAGTCTATAGGAAGGTGATATGTGTGGCAGGGGGTGTGGGTAGGATGCTGTGGCCAGGGAGAAATGTCAGTTGTCTGAATTGCAGTATTGCCGTCGGGGTTGGTGTAAGTGTATGCATGTAATGACACTCAGGAGATGGTAGTGGCAATCCATGGTGACTGACTGGAACAAAGATAGGAAGGTAAGAGAAGGAGAAGGTAGTGTTCTTACAGCCTTCCAAATGTTGACCTGCATTCTCGTTTCTTTCCTTACTTTGACAGCCTGATGACTTTGTGGGTGTTTCCATTTCCATATGTCTAGTTATCAGTCTGACCAACTGTCAGTTCTGTCATCTCATTTGGTGGGTACACAATGGTATGGAAAAAATGATGGGTCATTGACCTCAGAGCAGAGGCTATTTGCTATGGGAAAGCTATTATCAAGAATTATGCTAAGCAGCTCTTCCTGTCAGATGGGTTTTGTTGTTCATTCTGATATATGATCAGCTGTACAGAAAGATTTCAGGATTGGATATAGAAGGAGAGGCAGGCAGTTGGAAAATATGGAAAAAAGAGGAGAATTTAAAACTAACAAAGTGCTGACAGGAAACAAAGGCAATAGAATGGAAGGTTTGAAATGGGCATTTTGTTAATGAGAGAGTGAGTGAGTACTAAGCCATATCATTATTAAAACTCAATATTTCTCTAAGAGGCTCCCTGAGGACACTAGTGTCCTGCGTTCGTTACTCGCGGGAAAAGTTTTCTGGAAAATGTTTCTGAGAAGGCACATTTAACAATATGCATCTTAAAATTCTACTTAAATTTGTTGAACCCAGAATTTTACAAATATATTTCTCCCTTTGTTTTTCACTAAGACAGTGTTAATAGTCTGTGGAACTGCTGTCTTACAGAAGGAGAATAGGATATGCTGATAGAATTAAGCAGGGATCATAATAACAGGTAACATTTATTGAACATTTGCTATCTGCTAAGCCTCGTGTTGAACTTAACATGGACTTTTTAAAATTTGGTCTTCATACCAACAATATTGTAAAATAGGTATTATTCTTATTTTGCTGACAATGAAAGTATTTTAAATTATTAAGTAATTTGTTCAAAGTCACATAGGGGGAAACTTGATTCAAACCCATTGCCAATAAAATCGATACTGCTGGTTACCAATGATGAGTCCTGCTTCCTCACGTGTTAAAGTATAACATCAGAGAAGCACACCAAGGCAAGCATATAAGGCAGTGTTTATTTAAGAAGGGGAACATAGACTTCTCCTGGAAGGGCAAAAGGGGCCATTGTTGGTATTCTGGTATCCCAAGAAGGCATTCTGCTTTTTTGTTTTTTAATGTGTCCTAGGCTTTCTTTGTTCTCCTGCTCTCTTCCCCTCATCTCTCTCCTTCTTTCATACATGACAAGGCCCAGGAGATGCTCAGTGGGATGGCCAAAAAGTGGGAAACAGGTGAGCTGGAGGGAGGAGTGATCTGGGTAGGAAGGGGGTCCTGGGTGAATTAATTAGTAATTCCAGTCTGCTCAGGAGTTGCTTCCTTAACAATTCTTTAGGATGGGCAGTAGAAGCCCTGCTTTGGGAACATTAACATTTCAATCTCCCATCAGCACAGTTTCCAATCTTTGGACTCAAACCGATTTGTTCCATTTTCTTCAGTCTGGCCCGATTTATCGATCTACCCTGACTACCTGTTTTTTAATTCTGGCTTCTCAATAATGATAATAATAATACCTATCTCATTATGTTGATACGAGGATTAAAGGAAAGAGTCCATGTAAATTAATTTTAAAGCTTAAATATCTGGCCCCTTGTACTTTAAAAAAAAAAAAACATGTTACAAGATTAAGATCCATGGAAAGTTTGCAGCCATAGGTGTTACGGAAACTCCCTTTGATCATGTCATGAAGGAGACAGGTTTTTCAAAGACTGAAGGACCAAATAGAACCAAATACTGAATATTTTCTAATTTCATAAACAGTGAACCCTCAGTAGGCCAGATATTACACATACATTACCTCATATTACAGAAGAAACTTCAGTAGGAGCATCAAAGATCTTGTATTAGAAGCTAAAGCAGGAGATGAAAGAAAGAGAGAAGGAGGGGAGGAAGAGAGGAAAGAAGGAAATCTAATAGTGTAATGATCACATAATTAGAAACTGTTTGAACCTACCTTCAAATTCAGACAGTCCAACTCAGGAATTCCTGTTTTTAATCCTACAATACTGCTTCCTTGCCGCCATATATTAATGTATACAACTTTCCCTTGTTAGTAAATGTAAGCATATATCTCTATTGACATATGTAAGATATTTATTTTTTCATGCATTATCCATGTAAAAGACTTCTCTGAGATCATATACCCAACATTGCTACCGCTGGGTCATATTTTTGAAGATGGAGAATGTTTTTTTGGAGGCAAAGGTGTGAGGAAAGGGTAACTTAAGGAATTCAGGAGGAAAAGAAATGCAGTTAGGTAAGGAAGTGACCCCAGGCAATTGCATTAGAAACAGGGTAGATGTAGGTCAAGCCAAAATGGAGTTCTTTGTGGGATCTGAGGCTGAAAGGCACTGGGTGATACACATATATTTTATTTCCCCCATAAATAAATGTACATGGAACCTATTTCATTGTTAGTTCTGCTTTTTCCTAGCAATGTAGTGGCTTATGTAAGGATACTAGAATTATATAGTTCTAGGTTTGAATTTTTCCTCTATCATTAAATGCAACCTCAGGAAAATTTCCAAATTGAATCAGCTATAAAATGGGAATGGACATACCTATCTCCCAGTTTATTTTCCTAAAAGACAAAAGAAATAATATATAATGTGCAGGTGAAAGTAGGTGAACTTTTATTATTGATAACTATCATATATTTTTTTTTGCTTTCCTGAGTTTTATGGGCTCAATTTGAAAACATTAATAACATATAATTAGGCATTTTTTTGTTCAGCCTTTTCATTTTTCTCCTATTTCTAATAAAGTACAGAGAGGTTGTTTCTAACAACTTTGTGTCTCCAGGAACAGATTGCCACATTAGTTGAGCAGGTTAGTTTGCAGTTAAGAAAACTCTGTTACTAGATGATTTTTAGAAGCCTATTACAAAAAAATAGATTTGAAGTGACTTTATTCTGTGCAGGAATTCATTTGAGCAGTTTTATCTAAATTGTTTACCCTAACCATGTGACTTGGTGTCAAAGAAAGATTCTTTAGGAAAAAAAAGTAAAACAATAAATCATTTACTTAAAGATTATTCAAATGACTATGTCCTACATTTTGTTAATAAGTCAAATCTATGTTTATATGGAGAAAAATGGTAATATTTCTGAATTGATTTAGGCAGTTATTAAGTTGGTACAGTCTAACTCAGGTAGGACTTTGCTTAACTCTTGCTTCATATCAAGGTGCTTTGAAAGAGTCTCACGTGCTCTCTTCATGTTGTAGAGAGCAAATGATTTCAAGTGCAAAAATACAATTATCAGGAGTTATGTGTATAAAGGTGTCATGGAAGGTTTAAATGCAGTAGAATTATAATAGAAATGCAATGATTTACTGAAGATCTTTATTTTTTTTTAATTTGCAGGATGAGTAAGAGATACTTACAGAAAGCAACAAAAGGAAAACTGCTAATAATAATATTCATTGTAACCTTGTGGGGGAAAGTTGTATCCAGTGCAAACCATCATAAAGGTAAGYTCTTCTGTTTCCTTTCTCAGCTCAGTGCTGAAGTGGACTTCCCTTAACACAGACTGTCTTGTTCTGCCTTCACTGGTCTGTTACATTTTATTAGGTGTGGGTCCTCTCTGACAATTTTATTTAAGTAAAAATGCAGAGAGTTATCCTTAAGATGACATTGGTAGAGGAAACACAGTATTTCCAGGATGACTGCCATTTCTATAAATGCTGTTGAAAGAGTATAAAATCTTACCTCTATCTTTCCTTCCCTTTTAAGATAGTAATGTTAAAAATGTTGAACTGGTGAGTAATAAAGATGAGTTTCAGATTGCTGTCATCCTCATAAAGAAGGCATCTTTAATGATATGTATTTTAATAATACATACAGAGCACATATAAAATTTCTTTCTACACTTTTTGTGGCCAAAGTGTTTCTTCCACCACCATCTGGACACCTCCTCTAGCCCCATCTGCATCAGGCTCAATTCTGCCATAGAATAAAGTGGGGATATTTGTTCTATATACATGTGCTAAGCTTGACAGCTCAAAATTATGCCTTTCCTGTCCTCTTTCCTGGCCATCAGGCTCAGAATAATGAATAACTGCTTTTTCCAGATGAGTTAAAATGGGGCTATTTCTGAACTGTACCTAMTATAATCAAGTATTCATAACCTGAGAAGTCAATTTAGATTTTTCTATGAAATATGGTTTTATAATTCAGTTCTAAGTCCACTATAAAGTCTAGAGACCATCAACTTACTTCCTTATTCTACTTATGGGAAAAGGGGGAATTAAGACTGCTTTGAACCCTATAACACTTAAATTAGTTACACATGTGCATTAATTGGCATTATATGGAACATTAAYGCCAAGGAGAGGAGAGTTGTAATATGAGGGAGTGATGCCTATAAAACAAATCTCTTCCTCTTGTATTTCAAGCCAAAAGAGATATCTTTTGAAATAGAATTTTATGAAGAATTCCTTCATATAATTCTGGTTTTGACCCACCATGTGTGTATCTTAATTTACATAATATTTTAAATATAGCATACAATTAGCCAAACATTAAATGCTTGACAAGCTTAGTGACTCAGGAGGCTGAGAGAGGAGGATTGCAAGTTCAAGGATAGCCTCAGCAACTTAGTGAGACTCTTTAACAGCTATTATCTATGTAAAATTAAAAAGATGATGTGAAGAATAATAATAAAGAARAGATAGAGAGACAAAGTGCAGAGGTAGGGATGGTRGCAGAATGGCTCTTTGTCCAAGAAGCCACGTTTATTTATACCAATAGAATATATTAGGTCATTAGTACCATAAACACATTATTGCTTAGAGTATCAGTAAGGCTGCTTATTCTGCAGTTGCTTTTCACAGTTACAATATGCAATGTTAGGAGCTTTGTCCAATTCTCAAGAAAGTCCATTGTCTGAAATTACTGTTAGGTGGGCAGCTCCAGGAGCACCAGAGCTTGGTGAAACATTGTAGTTATCTAATAGACAAGTTCTTCTATTCCTAGGAGCTATGTGCCTGCAATAAAAGTTGAGGCTTGATGAGGCTCTAACAAAGAGGCATCTCAGGGCATTGCCATATCAGCTAGACATAACACATATATTACATATATTATTAGATCCTAAGAGAGATTACAGGGCATTCTAAGGGTGGGAAATAGGGTGTCTGCTACCCTCCAGGATTTTTCTCCCCAGGGGAATGCTTCCCTGTACATTTCCACRGTCAGAATCCCTACAAGATGCCAAGAAGAACATTCCCTGTGGTCCCACATTTGCAACAGTGAACCAATTTAGGGACAAGGTAGTGTTAAATACCTTTTCAAAGAGTTGCACACTGTTGGGGTCCAGCCCCGAMTTGAGCTTAACAAGAGAAGACACCATCCCTATTGGCCTTGATGGTCATGGTCACCCCAGTGCCCATTCCTAACCTGTTTAACTGAAAGAAGTAGGAGGGATTCATAGGAATTGTGCCTGGCCCAGAAAATCTTCCTGAAAAAGATCTTTCTCATCTAGAAAGCCAAATGGTGAGGTCTCATTCATAAAGATGAGAATCATTCATAATGTTGCCCAAAGTGTATATTTAATACTGTTGTTAAAGTTACTTTACTTTTAAGAATGTTTAAGTTGTTTTATGTTCTATGCTAACTCCAAAACTAAGATCCTTTCTTATTATTTGCCACGAACATACTTTAATACAAGAACTTACACATTAGGTCAGGAAATTTGGTTAAATTACCAAATCCAAGACATTTTATAAGGTAGAGTTTGGGGTTGTTTTGCTGTTTCATTTCCACCTTGCCATTGATGTTTTGGGTGAAGATTTTACAAGAGATTTCCCCTTTGCTCTTGTTCTTTCTCCCTCCTTCCCTTCCTTTCTCTTTCCTTTCTGTTCCACCTTTACGTTTTTCAGATAAAATGCTCTAATTATATTGAACTATTTTACACATAAAATAGTAAGTGTTATATATATATATATATATATATATATATATATATATAGTAGTCATAGCACAGGTTCATAAAGTGAACATTACTAATGCTCTCACTTGCCAATTGAGAAATGTTGCATTTGATACTTTTGAAACTGGCTGTCTCTGCTCTGGCTTCATTCCTACAGCTCCTCTTTACTCAGGATAACCATCATTCTAGATGTTGCAATTATAATTCCTTGGCTTCTATTAATAATTTCACTATAAAATATGGATATGCTTCTCCAAATGGCATTTTGCCTACCTTTGGTTGTTTTTAAATTTATATAAATAGTATAATACTATAAATCATTTTCTTCAATTTATTATTTTGTCCAATGGTGGTGGTTGTTATATTTGTTACAGTTGATATGCAGCATTGTAGTGATAGTATATTAGTTTTTTTACAGTTGATCCACATTTTATTATATGAAGCCTCCACAGATTCAGTATTTATTCTCTTGTATATTAACATTTGGTGTTCAATTTTATTGCAAATCTGAGCAATGTTTCCATGAGCATTCATGGCCTTTTCCTTAGGTGTACTTGTGCAAGGTTTTTTTGAGGTAACATTCTCAGGAACAAAATTGCTGGATCACAGTGCAAACATATCTTAAATTTCACCAGATAATGCCAAMTGTTTTTCCAATGTGATAGTCCTAATAAAGTTGTTCAAGGTATTTTCTTTTCATCTTTTTAATCCCTGTCGTTATATTTCCTCTTTCAGTCTGAGTATTGCTTGCATGTGCAGTATATCTTTGGTTTTTGGATTAGTGTCCCTAGGGATTGGTCAATTTTATTAGTTTTCAAAGGACCAGATTTTGTCTTTTCTGATCCTTACATTTATATATTTTTGAATTTCTTTACTTTCTGCTCTTTATTGTTTCATTAATCTATTTGTTTTTTTTACTTGTATAACAAACCCTTTAAGTTATGCTTACCATATGCCAAGCACTTGTTTTGGTGATTTAAAACTTGGATTTTTTCAGTTGTCCTGTAAAAAGCCCTGGCCCCCTGAGATTTCATATACTATGAGTATTAGATCTAAAGTTATTTATGTAGTTAATTTCATGGATCAATAAATAATAAAACTCATCTCCCTAAAGACCTAAATGGTTATAGTTGCATAAGTTCTGCTTATTAAGCTCTTAGAGGACAGAATGGTTGGGGCACTATCTCCCTAGATATGAAGTCAAGACCTTGAAGACACCTGAAATATCTGGCCGTTGGAAAGATGAATTTACATTCTAAATGATAGAATTTTTCTGTTTTCAGAAGGGGCAGAAAATATCTTTCTTTCTTTTATATACATGGACACATCAGCTATTCTCTGTCACTCACCTAAAGAGGAGTCATTGTTTACCTTGGACATTAGATGGACTTTGACAAGGAACAGAGGGCAGAGCAGGCGGATTCACCTACTATTTATTGTGAGGYAGTGACTAAGGAATCGGCTTTTGATCATATACCTCTGTGGGTGAGAGAAAGTGTCTCACAAAGTTGCTTAGTGCCTTGCTTTTGCTGAGGCTGACTTTGAACTCACGATCATCCTGCCTCAGCCTCCCAAGCTGCTCAGATTACAGGTGTGCACCAACATGCCCAGCTTTATAACCACTTTTACAGAGCAGACACTGATAAGGAAATGTTAAAGTATCATCACAAGTTGCCTAGTTGGTAAACAACACAGGATTCAAATCTAGGCAGTCTTATACCACACAATTGTGATATTTATTGAATAGTGAATTTCTTTCTATTTATACTATTTGGGATTTGGTTGATGTCCTGAGTCTCTGGATTAGTATTTCTCATGAACTTTAAAGTTTTAGACTGTATCTCTTGCCACTGCTTCTCCACAGCTAGACCTGCGCTTGGATGTTAGGTGTGGTTCRCCTGTCACACTGTTGTATCTCATCACTTTTCCAATCTCTCTGTGCAGTGTTTGGAATACTTATTCTTATCATCTTTATGCCATACTAATTCCGTATTCCCTTGGTTCTAATCTGCTCTTTAATCCACATAATGAGTTTGTTTCATTTATTGTATGCTACTAAAAGTTTTTGTCTTGCTAATTTGTTTGCATTTGATAATTTTATTCTCATGTTTTCAGTTTCTTCTTTATACCTATATCTATAATATATATTTTCCCCTAAAGATTACATTTTATAAATTTTTTGTGTTTTCTTTCCAGTGACTTTCCTTCTATATTATTTWTTATAGAGTTTTGTGGTTATTTTTTAAATTTTGTGAGCTAATGTCTGTTGGAATCATGTTTCTGAGAATTTTTTTAGACCTTTGATCAGGATACATTCTTCTAGAGATGATTTGCATATCATATATCTTAGGGTAGGGTTCCCTAAAAGCAGAGCCAAGTCAGGAATTCTTATGTAATTTACTAAACAAGTACTCTCAGGAGGAGACAAGGAAAGCAAGATAGAGCAGGGATGAAAACCAAGTATGAATCAAAGAGGGTCTCTGCTGGCTAATCTCATAGTCTGGTCGTATGGTGAAGCTTTGAAACATTTGCAGAGATGATCTC